AACTCCCTGCTCTCCATGTGTCAGTATATAATGCCTGCATCTGTAACTTTCACTCTATGCATCCGAAGAAGTGAGGTTTTTACTCACGAAAGCTTATGCCCAAATAAATCTGTTAGTCTTTAAGGTGCCACCAGACTCCTTGTTGTTTTTCTTATTTATGGTAGAAGGCAGCTCCTTTGGAGAGCAAACAAATCTTTACAGTTCATTAAAACTACATTACATTCATAACTATTGATTATTTTGTATAAGAAAGTTTGCATAAGCTGAATTCACATTTTTATTTTCTCACTTTGAATTTTATTTATTTAATTTTATTTTGTAATTTTCCTCCTTAGGTTCTTTAAATAATGTTAATCAAAGGACTAGGCAAGAATTTGTTTTTTGAGGAGTGAGTAAACCTTACCCTGCTCATATTCATTTAGAACCCTGATGCAAAGATCATTTTCCTTTCTTATCACTTTACCAGGTTTATCTGGGTATTTTCCACTTAATCATTTCCCTGTCATCATGGGGGCCTCAGGCACTGGTGCACCTTGGTCCCTCCTATTCACTCCCTGTGACACATAATAGTCTCGTCTCGTGTGGGTGTAATACTTTGATATAATTTCAGTTGTTGGGCTTAGTGTGTGTTTGGAGGGTGGTCTTGGTGGCCTGTGATATACAGGAGGTCACATTAGATGGTCTGGTTGTCTCTTCTAAGACTTAAACTCTCTGATTCTATATCACCCCTTTCTTTGCATCTTTCCACTGACACCCCCCACCCATTATCGCACCAAGCATAAGGCACTTGTTTTCACTTTCAAGGCTCTTCATGGTCTATCCCCATTATATCTCTCATTTGCTATCTAGATGTCAACTCCCACTTCTGATTGTCCCGTGATCCAAGCCTTATTAAATTTTCAAACAAGTTCCCTCCATGCTCTCTCCCATGCTGCCCCCTCATGCTTAGGAGGAGATCCCTGTAAATGTCCGCAAAACAAATGCGTTTTTCTCCTTCAAAACGCTCCCTAAAACTTTTTTCTGTGATGTCTACGAAAAACTTGACAACGATGCTGGTGTCCTGAGACTACGCCCTACATGCTGACCAACATTGTTTCATTGTTTTCTTGTACTCTCTGTTTTGTCTGTATCCATTTATTTTCTCTTGTCTCTGAAGCAGGGACTGCCTTTTTGTTCTGTGTTTGTACATCATCTAGCTCAGTAGGATCCTGCTTCATGACTAGGGCTCATAAGTGTTATGGTTATAGAAAAAATAATAATATATAAAACTATTGTTCTTGGTGCCTGTTTTCTTTTTTCCTCAGGGGACTATATAAGACAGTGAAACCATCTCCAATAAAGTTATACCATTATAACTGAAATCAGAGTTTGACCACATATCTTTTAAGGCACAGAAACAGAGTAACATGAAAAACACAATATTCTTTAGGCTTAGTAAAATGTTTTTGTGGATCTCTATTGTAAGGCCAAAGGCAGAAAAAGAAGTTATGATTCTGTTTTTGTGTATGTTTGCCCTCCTGTTTAAGTATTGCAAGTTGTAAAATACAATGTGAAGTATAAATGTAATCATAATGTTAAGCAATTATTTTTAACAAATGAAAGATTCTTTAAAAACTGAGTATCAACATATCATACATTCTAACAGTTATGTCACTGTAACTCTTGCTTCTCTATACTGTACATGCTTTTTCTTAGGCCATCACTGACTCAGATGCTAGAGAATGATCTGTATCCATTTTACACAGCTTATTCTTTTAAAGATGAAATGTCAACGAGTCTAGGGCCCTGGTCTTGCAAACGCTTGTGACTGTTATGCTTATACAAAGCACATGGAATCTTTATAGAGGAAGGCAAATATGCAGCATTTATTGAAAATACAACAGTTAGCATGTGCTTTTCAGTCTCACACACATACACATATACACACACACAGAGTCCTGCCAGTGATGTTTATAGTTACCAGTCTGTTGTTGCAACTCTTGGACAACCAGAACGTCATTCCTAGAATGGTAAATTTGCCATATACTGTAGCTTTGGGTCATTTTCATAATATTTTAATTCTAATTATTAAAGAAAATGTTACCATTATCAATTTTAATGTTTTTAAGTACCTTCTTTTTGATTGCAGGATGGAAGGTTGACATTTTATCCAGGAAATCAGACCGTGAGCCTACCTTTTATAAATTTCATGAAAAGATATGGCACGGTTTTTCTCAATGCCTACACCAATTCTCCAATATGCTGTCCTTCTCGTGCAGGTAAAACCATATTAAAAATCTTCTTAAGGAAATAGTAACTACCAGGGGAGAGCCGGTTTAAATGTTCATTAGTGATGGACAGACCTCAGAAGGCCTGAGCTGAATAAGGCCCCATTTTTAAATGCTTATCTAAAATTATCCAAACCTTCTGAGGTTTTTATCCATTTCTCTTTTCCCCCCTTGTCTGCCTCCCATGCTTCTTCCTCTCAACTGCATTCTTCTCTTTCAACTTCTCAGCCCCCCAAGTAATGCAAACATTACTCAGGTTTCAGTACTTCTGAAAACCTTTAAGGATTCCAATGGACTTGTTTGTCCTCTACAACAGTGGGTCTCAAAGCCGGTCCGCCGCTTGTTCAGGGAAAGCCCCCAGTGGGCCAGGCCAGTTTATTTACCTGCCGCAGCCGCAGGTTCGCCGCTCCAGGCCAATGGGGGCTGCGGGAAGCGGTGGCCAGCACATCCCTCGGCCCGCGCTGCTTCCCGCAGCCCCCATTGGCCTGGAGCAGCGAACCACAGCCAGTGGAAGCCTGTCAATAATCACTTGACAACCCTAGTTATTATTCTATAAATGCGTTGACAGGCATTTGTTTCTGACTTGCTTTTTTCAGCTATGTGGAGTGGCCTCTTCACTCATTTAACAGAATCTTGGAATAACTTCAAAGGTTTAGATCCAAATTATACAACATGGATGGACCTGATGCAAAAGCATGGCTACCGAACTCAGAAATATGGGAAACTAGATTATACTTCGGGACATCACTCAGTGAGGTAGGCAAAGGATATATTCCTCTCTGGTATGGCATCCATAAATGTGATTAAATCATGGAACAACAGATTGACCATGGCTTATTGTTTTCAATTAAAATGTAGCATTGATCTTTTTTAAAGAAATTCTGTTAGAAATGTATGAAGGCTCCAGTCCTGCAAAATGTTAGGCCCAGGCATACAGTTACTCCCATGAAGAGTCACATTGAGACAAGTAAGGGTGTGAGGGCACCGAATGACCTTTATGCCTGTCACAGGTACAAATAATTATACTTAAGAAATCTCAATTTATATATCTCTGATTTTGCCCATTTGGATACAATCTGTTTTTAATAATATTTTTTTAAAAACAGCTTCATAACAAGATTGCAGTGTAGCTAGCTCAAAATAATTTGATTTCATTGTGATTCTCACCAGAATTCATCCATAAATCCTAAACATGTTCTGGTGAATTTTGTGCAATGTATTTATTCATTTTAATCGGCAAACTCAGCTTTATTTCAGTTCTTTGTGTAGGTCAATTTCATTTTGTTATGGTAAATTAGAATAAAATACATTATTTAGTACAGAGCACTAATTACAATTTTCGTAGCTTTACTTGGTAAACCAGGGACCAGTACTTCAAGATGATAAAGGCATAATCCATTTCCATTAAATTCTGTCTGAATTGTCTACAAGAAGGATGACTCATTTAACTGAACCACACAAAAGGCTAAAAAGATTTTAAACTCCTTTCATTTTATTTTTTCTGATTTAATTACAATTTTCAATTTTTTTCATTTAACAAACCAAAGGTATTTTAGGTGCCAACATAAAAAACAAGTACAAAAATTACTATATGTTCCCAGCACATGGATTTTTATACCATATATCCAAATGAATTAATAAATAAAAATGAAAGGGAAAAAGGCAGGGGGGAAGAGATGGAATACGGAAGAAGGATATAGATTTATCTCCTGTCTTTCTTTCAGGCATCCTGCAGGGGTTTTTAGTTGACCAGTTCTAGGAAATTGTCCCAAATAGACTCAGCTTTTTCTAGGGCTTGCTATCTATTGTATGCGATGGTGTGGACTAGGTCCAGAGGTGCTGTGCTGGAGGCCTCAGGGTCCTGAACACATGTTCCAGAGTGGCTGCAGGAGAAGCAGCCACCCATGGCCCAGGAGAGCCATATAAAAAGAGCTGCAGGGACAGTCAGTTTCTTGCTGGAGTCAGAGGAGTGTAGAGGGTGCTCCTGGCTGACCAAAGGGAACTGCAGCACCATGGACAGCTCAGTGCTGGCAAGGACCAGGGGTGAGAGGAAGAGCTCCTGGCTGGCTGCTGGGCCTGAAGATAAAAGATCCCTGAGGTAAGGGTGAAGCTTTGGTGAAGGCTGGGGCTATGGGGAAGTGGCCCAGGGAACTGAAAGCAGTTTTATTAAAGGGACATGGTGGCAAATGGGTACTATTCTTAGGGTCCCTGGGAAGGGACCTGGAGTAGTGGGTGGGTCCAGGTTTCCACCCCTCCCCCCCATAGGCCATTAGGGAAGTGGCCTATGTTGGACAGCAATAAACCCCAGAGGGGAATCTGAACTGCTAAGAGGCCCAGCCAGAGAGCTGAGGCCAGAACAGACCAGAGAGAGCAAAACCATTGCCTCCAGGGAGGAAGTCCTGGGGGTATGGCTCAATACCAGGGCTGGGACTTTTTCAAGACTGCAGACACACCTGATCAGAAGGAGGTTCTTGTGAGAGGTGGGTGCCACGCCATTACAGATACCTTCTTTTGCAGCCAGGTCTGCCAGTCCATTAAATCTGCTGGGGGGGAGGGATAGATTTATTTTTCCAGTGTAGCAAAATTTGACCTCTCACAGCCAGTACAACTCTATGTAGCCATTCTCTTTGATATAGTGATAGTTTCCATTTGCTGGGTATCTGACCCAGTACAGCATGCAGATGTCAGCTTTAAGATCAAGTGACAACTCTAGGAACTTATTAATTCTGGTTCCAATACCATCCCAGAAACTGGAAACAATAGGGCATGATCAAAACATATGCATGCTGGCTCCTTTACTACCACCACCCCACAGACACCCCCCCCCCCTCAACATTGATCACTCAGGGTAGCTTTAACTTTGTGAAGTGTTTGGGGCAACTAGTGAACCCTAAACATAATTTTTTGTTGAAAGAGACTTAATTGGAGGTCCAAGATTGCTTCTTTAATCTCTCATGTTGTTCTGTTTCACTGTGGGGTAAGATACTTATTGCCAATTCTTTGTTCCATTTTTGCATCAGTACATCTATATTAACTCTTTGGTGGGTCATAAGGAACTCCTCTAGTGTAGCTGCCAGTCTGGAGAAATAGTATAATTCTCTACAAAATTTGGCAAGTTCTGGCGCTTCAGACAATGCAAGTTCCTTGAGGCCGAACTCTGAGGGGAACAAGTGACAAATTTGAATATGTTGCCATATTGCAGTACTTGATAGGTTATATTATAGTTGGAGAGAAATTAAATGGTGTGATCTGGTCCTTTGATATTAATCGGGATATAGATAGTGTGCAGCATTCCATCCATATTATCTTCTTCCACGCCCAGTTTGTAGCATGGATTCTCCCAGATTGGATCCTCTACATGAGACGAAAGATAGGATTTGTGTTGGTGAGCTTAGTTGGTCCATATGTCCTTTCATATTTTTTGTTTGTAGTCACACAGCAGCCATGCTAATGTTTGTAATCCTGTTGTGTTGAAGGCTGACTAGCCTAACTGTTGCATGCTCCATCTGTGAATGGGAGGTGCGAGAGGGGAGGGGAATTTTAGCCAAATTACATAAAGATAGCTGCATCAGTCTCAAAGGAGGCTGTCTGTTCATCAATTTTGCTAGAATATGATCACTGAAATCATTTGCCCAGCATGAAAGAGTTTGAGAGATTAGGATTGAAGGTCACTTCAGGCAGATTGTATTGCTTCCTTGGTAGAGTGCCCAGAAGCTGTTTCCCTATAGGCTGTCTAGAATCTGTGCTAGGCCTTGCCTCAATGCCTGCTTGAACCTAAATATCTGAAATATTTGGGTGCGCGGGGAGCAAACCAGAAAAGTTTTTGCTAGTATTGAGATGTTTTAAATCTCCCCAAGTCCCAGGAAAATTTTAAATATGGTAATATGTTTCAAAATATGTTCAGTGAGAATATCTATTGTTGCTGCAAAATTTTTCTGTGAAGAAAAGTTGTGAATGAAAGCAAGGCATGAAAAACAGCAAAAATTTTAAGGAACCAAACATCTTTCACAATGATAGTCATAATACGACATAAATAGATGGAGTAGATAAGTGTTACTGTGGCTTCCCCAAGTACATATAAAAACTGCCTGTTTTGCAGTTTTTAATATGGTACACAATTTTCCTAGTTTCTGATTATGTCCACTGTCGAAATGTTTAATGGTACTGAGATTTCTCTTTCTTTTCTACTAAACTAATATCTCAGATTTTCTTTACTCTTCACTCCCTTCCCTATCTGAAATGAGTAATCAGATGTTGAAAGGAGACTTCGCTAATTATTAATACTTAGAATTTACACAGCAGTTTTCATCCTCCAAGTGCTTTATAGACATTAACTAGCTAATCCTCATATGAAGTAGGTAACCCATTTTACAGATGAAGGAACACAGGTTTTTCGAAGTTCAGGTTCTACACTAGAAAGAAAGGGTGATTCTGAATGAAGAATCTACAGCAAAATCTAACGTTGCCATTGAGAACTTTCTTTAGTGAATTGAGTCTGTAATACATTGTATGTAAATTTACCTTAAATGCAATCTCTCCCTTTGTGACTCTTTACATAACTTGTCATCTGAACTATGAATATATGTGCCCTACTGTATCTTCAGGTTTTATCATTACAGAACCTCTGATGAATTTTTGTCTTTCTTTTTCAGTAAGAAATAGATGCATGGACAGCATATGTAACAATAATCTGCTTTGTAAAAGGATTAAAAAACACCCCTTTTTCATTTTTGGTTCTCAATACTGGTTTATATGTATGATTTAAATCCTCACTGTGCCATGTTAAGAGCTGTAAAACTAATTGTAAAGGAAGAAAACAATTTACATATGTTTGTATTTTTGTAGGTTAAAGATGTGCATCGCTAACTTGTTGAGTACTGCAGTTATTCATACTTTTTAAAAAGCATAGCTGATCTTAACTGTATACAAATACCTCAAATGCACCTTCACAGAATCTTTCTTTGAGAAAGCAATGGGTCAGAGTTTGTGCTATGTAATAAATGGTTATGTGGGTGATTCATTCTTTTGCAGGCGTGTCTAGAATAAAATTATTTAAGGCAAGTGCAAATTAATTTGAAAGATGAAAATTTTCTGCATGGCTACATACCAGATTCTGCCCCTCACCTGTCGAGGCATCCCCACCTGTCATGCAAATGGAATTACCCATTCTAAATCCTATCTCTTGGTTCCTGTCCCTGGGGGAGAAAGTGCTTTGAAGTCCAAGTGATCTCCAACAAGCATAATGGGCTCCTAAGAGAATGTTGCAAGATAGAGTAGTCCCGGGGCTGCTCTAATTTACACTAATTCATGATAGAGGTTAAACAGTTTTCTAGCTTCCCACAAGATTATCGGAGCACAAAAGTGGCTATGGTGAAAAATACTTGGTCAGACCCACAGATCTGGGCTCTAGATTTAACACTGAATCCCTGTTCTTGCTCCCAGAGCCAAAAGCTTCAGGAAGATTGGGGTCTCATTCCAAAGGCTTGGAAGGGTGTAAAATGAATAAAATAGGTGATCCTCATCACTATTAGAGATGATCCTTTACACTATTACAGGGCCAGATTAAGGCAATTAGGGGCCCCATATCCCCCCCCCACACACACACACACACAGCAGCAGGGGGTCACCCTCCCACCCTAGAGAGAGGGGTAGTGGTTTAGAGCCCCCTTAACACCAGAGGAGCATTAGCTGGAGGCCTCCGCCCCTGGAAACAGCATGGTCAGGGGAGGACCTGAATACTTACCTCAGCAGCCAAAGTTTATCTGCCTCAGTGGTTGGGTGAGCAGGCACACTGAATTTTTCTCCTTCTGCCATACAGTCTTGTGTTGTTGTGGTGTTGATGAAACACCCCCAAGGCAATGGATCTTGGAGTTGATATTCCATATTGATACATAGGGAAATTCACAGCTCTAAGATGCTGTTTCAGGGTGACCAGATTTGGGCAGATGTCACTACGTTGGTTACAGTTAGGTCACATATTCAAGCTTTTTTTGGTAGCCATTAGGATTAGTAACGTCTTTATTAAAATTGAGGGTCTGATGTAATAACAGGGCTCAAGGGGCCATAGACATAGGCCTATAGTGCCTATGTCTCAATTTACCCATTTGGAATTCCTCCTCCTCTAGGGGAAAGAAATGAATTTGTGTTAACCTGCTGCCAGTAGAGCTATTTTAGTATAATCCTTTCAAATTCTGTTTGATTTCCAGATTTGATTACTGTAGTATGGACACAACCTAGAAAAGTTAAATGACAGTTTGACTAGATAGCTGACTAAAGTTTGGATAATTGAGAAATCTTAATTCTCTATGGTGGAAAAAATCATGGAGCAAAAAATATTAATTTGTTGCTTTTGTTACTTTCTGCCTTGCTCCACAGTCCGTTATGAAATTTCATCGCTGCTTGTTCTATACAGCTAAATAAACCCTAAAATGCTCAGGTTTGTCTAGAACAGTTAAGAAAGAAGAAGCCAACATATTTAAATTTATTTAAGAAAAAGAAAGCAAGCAAAACTGATATACAGAGGAGATTATTATTATTAATTTATATATTATCCTGTATGTACATGATTGTTTAGTCACCCAAGCTGAATTTTCAGGAGCTCGAGGTAGATTCAGTAGTAATACAAAATATTATACAATCAGTGGTTCTGCACTGACAAACTTGAGTAACATAGTGGTGAATCAAGCTCAGTGATTTTAGTCGGTGTTTATCTTTGTGGTTTATGCCCTGAACCTGCTATGCTGAAAGCCTTTTGCAAGTTACTGAGCCTTCTCAGATTTCTATTTAGTGGGAGTTGAGGGGGATCAGCACTTCACAGGATCAGGCCCTTACTGTTTCTTGAACAAAAGTGGGTGGAGGTTGAGAATAAATGAAAACAAATACGTGGTGAGTCAGCCTTTTTTAGTGTATATGTAAGTGGAATTTTAAAATTTAATACATTTCTCTCTAATTGAAAACTAAAAAAAACTCTTACACATTTTTCTGTAATAAAAATTATGTCTCATTCTAATTGCATCTATGTAGACATTTAAAAAGTCTAACTAGCCAATTAAATAATCTATAAATAGTGTGGAATAGATATAAGGAAGGTTACTGTTGCATGTTGAGTTAATTAGCGCAGTCCTGTTGCTTTGGTTTCCTGGTAAAGAGAAGGCTTGCAAAGAGAAACAGAGCTGTCCTCTCAGTATATGATGTATGATTGTTAGGCTCAATAGAGATATGGATATTTCAGAAACATAGATTTGATCCATACAACATGCAGTTGCTTCTGTTTTGAACCACAGAGCAAGAGTTTGCCCTAAACATATATCTAGGTTTGGCAGAATTTGATTTTTGTATATAATTTTTATGGATATCAATGTTTATTTTTAAACTTTTTTTTTCAATATTTAGCTATTTAAATTTTCACAGTTGTGGGAAATTTATTGCCGCCCCCCCTCCACTGCATAATATTTAAAGACAGTAGAGGCTGAGATTCAAAAAGTTAAAGCTTTATAACTGTTAAAACAGAAATTGTCAACATCACATGTCAAAATATACA